TGATGATTCTTTTAGTCTCTTCTCCTAATGAAAGTGTCCTGGAGATTCACAGGCTGAGAACAGGAAGGCAGTGTTGCATCTCTGACTCTTCTTACCCATCACTGAGACCTTCAGCACTGTTTTTCTCCTCTAGACAGTAGCAAAGTGTGCTTAGAGAGCTCAGAGGAGAAACCCCACTCTATAATCCTACACTCCCGCCTCTTCCATAACCCATTACCCAGATCAGCAGCATGGCAGATGTCTAGAGAAGAGAGAAGGCATTGCAAAAAAAAACAAACCCTGCCTATAATGGTAGGAACCAGTCTAAGAAAATTGGATTATATTTTCCAATTTTGAATATCTCCCACTCTTAAGTTTCCTTTAACCTGTTCTGCCTCACTTTGGGCTAAATTTTAAAATGGAGGAGAAAAAGAAAACAGCTAGATCAATTTTTAACATTTGTTTTAGAAATCCGTATGTTCATATCAAAATGACATTGTTTAGTCCCTAAAATGCAAAATAAATTGTTTACAAATACATCAATAATGTATTGCAGGAAATGTTAATAGTTTAGTGTCAATCTCATTAGCAAGAAAAAACAAGTGAGTCAATTACGCCTATTACCCATTTTTTTTTCCCTTCCAGATTGTCTTGGTTTGAAAGACATGTGTCTGCAGGGGAAGGCAGGACCCTCCCTTGGAATGGAAAATGTAAACCCCTCCCTCCGGATTATTGTAATTTTGAAATAAGGGTCTCTCAGGGGAAGATATGAGAATAGGAACATCGGTTCTTTACTGGTATGTATAACAACGCAAACAACAGCAGCTCTGGCACTCTCACCAAACAGAGCAGTCCCCAGTGACCCTCCCGGCCGCAGGCCCTGAGGGGAAGGGATGGAAGAGAGCCTTCCCTTCACAAACCCCCCTGGGGCAGCCGGTCTCGGGGTCCCAGCAGCACTTAGAGAAACAGCAAGCTGGGCCGTCAGGAAAGAGCAAAAATCCCGGGGCGGTAGCAGGATGTATCGGAAGCTCTGGAGCTGCGGCTGGAGCCGCGGGAGGCCTCGGCAGGCAGGGGCTGCGGGGCCGCAGTGCGGCCAAAGCTCGGAGCAGCGCCGGAGGAACAAAGGGGACCGGACAGCGGCACCCGGCTCCCAGCAGGGCAGGAAGGGCCGATCCCAAGGTCCCGGCACCCGAGCAGACAGGGGTAAGTCCCTCGTTTGCAGGTGTTAATGAGGTCCCAGTCCAACAGCTGCTCCTACGAGCAAAGGCTCACCCAAAGAAAGCACGAGGCAGTATAGGACTGGGCTCCGGCGGTGGCAGGGAATTCTTGCATTAAGCAACAGCTGGTCCGTCTTCCTCCGAAACCAGGAGAACCTTAGCAGCTCCCCAGCCTTTTTGCGTGCCGAAATCTTCAGGTATCCCCTCCCCTCCTCCCTGAGTTTTGGCCACTTCTTTTGTTTTTCTTAAGTACCCATAAGTATTCAATTGTTAGTTTCGCAGCAATTTATGTGGAAAAAAAACAGTGAGTACGAAAGAAAGAAACCCAGCCCCCAACACAGATGAACACAAAGCGAGGAAAAAGTAGCAGAATGAGAAAAAATAATAACCCACAGGGTCCGGAGTTGAACAGTTACTTATTTGTCAAGATATGAAGTCCTGGTTTTACTTTCTTTCTCCTTTTTTTCCTTGCTGCTAAATTATGTGGTGGATTTGGGGCATTTACAAAAGTTTGATATTTAAAGGCATTCCAGGAAAAAAAAAAAAAAGAAGTTTTTTTTCAGAATTAGAGCTGGTAAGAAGCTGAGATTTCATAAAGTTGGAGAGCTAAAAGGGGTGAGATCTGCATAACAACTGCTTATATCAATGCTGACATCAGCTAGCACTCTCAGAGCTATGAGTGTTAAAAACAATTTGGGCCCATTGATGTGAACAATACTTTTTAAACAAAGATTTTGATGTCTGAATCACTGCACTATAGGTGATCTGAAACCAGCACAATAGTAGAATTTCTTTTAAAAAAATCCCTAAAGCCACACGCTACAAAATTATAAAACACATCTTTTGGGTGAATGGAATGTTTACTTTTAAAATAACACTTACCCTCTTAAGAATAATACAAAAGAACAGAAAGAAGTCTATGATCTTTTCCTTCAGGGATTTCTTAGACATTGTTTTACTCAGGGCCAAGTAAAAAGCATTCTGCATACTTCTGGTCCCTGTGAAAAAAAAGTGTGCTCTGTAATTCTTAGGCTCCAAAGGACTTCTCAAAGACAGGAGACAAAGAACATGTGTTTCACCCATCTTTTCCTTTTGGTGTACAGAAGGAAATATTCAAAACCCAAAATCCACCAAAGCTGCTGGTATAAGTTTGTTATATGAGTTAAAATCCCTTATGAATTCCCTTCAGTTAAAAGACGTGAAGTTTACACTTACATGCATGTATACGGTATGAGTTTGTGTGAAAATTTGTTTTTTAAAACAAATGTTTAGATATAACAGATGTTCACTTTGTTTGCCTCTAACGAGCTGGGTAAAAAGACTAAAGTTGTTCCAATATATGGTCATAATATTTTCTCTTTCTTTTGGCAGACGTCAGATGCCTTTAACTTCATTCAAACTCAAATGAGTAGTGCTGTAGTGGCAGTGAAGGTCTGATCTCATCTTCTGTCTAAAGTGATGTAAATTAGATGTCCTGGACAGAAGCTGTCTGTTATAAATTTGTATTGTGATATTGGCTTTCGCAGATGAATATTATATGTTAAATACCTTTTAGCTATGTATGTACTTTTTTCTTGCTAACAAATTTTAAGCTTAAAAGAATTTCCTAGGTACCAGGCAAGGAAACCCCAGAGGGCAAGGACAGTGGGGCCCAAGCTGCTTATCAGGAGAACAATAGAGCTCAAACTGTTATCAGCAGAAGATATGAAGCCCAGCTGCCCTCAGGGGAAGGGCCCGGATGGTTATCAGCAAGTGACCATTTGCAAAAGAAAGGAAACCAAACTTCAAATAATGCTGACCAGCAAGAATAGTGATGACCAGCAGGGGTAGTGCTGACCAGCAGAAAATAAAGATTGTGCAAAAGCATATTCTAGGAAGGCGGAACTAGGGAGGGGACATATTTTTGAATATGCATAGAATCCTCGCAGCAGGAGGGGATAAAAGGAGTGTTCCCAAGATACCAGGTGTGTTCCTGGCAACCTGCCAGGGCACCCGGCCGTTTTAACCCTTTGCTTTATTTCTTTTGTCTCCTAATTGTCTTTTTGTTTATATTAAATTCTTTTTATAATTTATTAAGTGAATCTCGTTTTTAAGACTGCCCCATCTTGTGTTTCTGTTTTCTCCCCATACCCTTGCTGTTAGGCCCAGGAAATTATTCTCCATCATTTTGCTGCATTTAGTAATTAGGTGGACAAGAAATGCCTTTCTGTCCAGACAATGGCTCATGTTATCCCCAGACTGTGACAACTGCAATAGCAGATGCTACAGAGAACAGTCTCTGTTCAGGATGAATGTTGACACAAATTTTAACAACAGAAGACAGGACACAGGACAATGCCAGAAACACATTGTTTTTGAAAATTATAAATTTTATTATACTTTTTAGAAAAGAAAACTATTTTAATATTCTGTCAAAGCAGACATAGCCTGTTGACTGTTTTAATGGAGAAGAAGAAGATCTCTCTCCTGTTTGCTCCAATGCTCTACATTACCTTTTTGCTTTCTGGTAACATGTCCCTAATTCAGTGACCTTTCCTGTTGAAAGTACTTGGACACACATTAACCATTATAACATCATTCAGCTTTTCTAATTTGGAAGATGCAATTCCAGATGTGGACCAGTATTCACCTCCTGAGCACAATCTCTTGGTTTCTAATACCTCTGTGGGCATCCTGTTGGTTTTCATCATTTGATCTTATTCAACTGTGTTAACTAAATGATATATGTAAATATCAATGATAATAACTGGGGGAAAGAAAAAAAAACCCAACAGGAAATAAAATTATTACAGCATCTCACTGGCATGCTAAATGTTTCATGTTTAATCTTCAATTATTTATCTAAATACCTTTTGTCTGTACCACATTTACTTTCTTTGCTATTACCTAAGATTGCTTATTCCCAATCCTTAACCCAACTTGAAAATTTCAATAGTGGCTATAATTTATGAGACCATTATGAAATCACAAAGCACTGCTTATATTTTTAATAGTATTTTTGACCCCTTCCATGTGTTCTGGACAACCATACAATTGCATTAACTACCCCAGTGACAAACTCTCTGCCCCACCAGAAAACTGAATCAGAGAGTAGATTTTAGAAAACTTCTTTACTTTTTCCTAATCCCCACCATAACATAATCAAAGATTATCTGCTACTTCAGGCATAGTCATCCACACAGACTGCCAGTTTTCATTCATGCTGCTCCAGATTTGCTAAGGATTGTGTTTTTTAGATCTTTTGCTGCCAGCACTTAAACCATAGGGATGCTCAGAAACATTCTGTATCAGTGGAGTTTGAGTGGGTGGATTGCCTTCAAGTACTTTGTTATGGGGAAACAACACTAAATTTTGGCATTAACAGCCATGATATTACTGGCACAGTCAGAGAGATAAGAAATTAATTTCTGCAAGAGCTTTCAATGGTCAAAACAGATTGATGGTTTACTACATTTAGTTCTATGCCTACTATTGCTTGCTCCATTTCTTAGATAGTTGTCTAAGTTTGGAAGCCCGCAAGCAGTTCAGCCAACTACTGTGGATCATGGTAGGAATTTGTTATTTTTCAGAGATATAAGGGACAACTGCATTTGCATCTTTTGCATGGGGTGTTGCAATGGCATGATTACAGAACTTGTGTTTCATAAAGTCACTAAAACAAAGTCATTAATTTTGTGGACAGTAGCAGCATTTGCAAATAAACTGTCTTGGTTTAAGACAACTGTATGGGGTGGATGGTCCAAAATTAGTTAGCCCCCTTTTTAATCATTTCCTTTTCACCAATAAAGAGAATGTGAGAAAATATAGGTAAAAAAATATCAGTTTACTAGAAGCAAAATAGCAACAATCAACAATACAGTAATAAGCATTAAATACAATGTTGCTGAATCCCATGGACTCCCAGGAACAAATTAAAACAAGAAGGCGGAGAAGCCCCTCCTCAGTATGGTAGCCTCCATAGCTGACCATGGATCAGAAAAGACAATATGGCAGGGAAGCCCTGCTTGGCTGAGCCTTTGCCCTGGAAAAAAAAAGGGAAGATAAAAGCTTATTTTGGTAGCAGGTAGAGGGTGCCAGCTCCATCTGTGGCAGCTCCGAACCTACAGTCAGCTCCTTTGCTTCTTTTGGACCAGCTGGACCCACTTGGTGTCAGTGCTGTAGTTCTGGGTTGCTTTTGCATTGCAGCAGAAACAAAAATGGATTTGCTGGGCACTGAAACCCACAGGGTGGCCCTGATGGCTCTGGATCCAGAGATGGGGGTTGCCCCCAAAAACTGTGACCAAAAAGTTGTTGCCAAATTTGCTCCAAAACAGTTTAGGATTGTGGAATGCAGTTTCTTTGAGACCTGTGCCAGGCAACTTCCCAAGGAGAGAAAGAAAAGAAGGCATCTGCCTCTCTTTGCCCTCGCCCCAGGTAACTCCCTTGGCAGCACAGTGAGAGATAGGAACTCCGTGTTTCTGTTGCCTGTCTCTTACTGGATCCCGGGCCAACCTCCTCCATGAGCCCAGCATAAAACATCCTGGTTCTGCTTCAGGTTCCCAGATCTTAAAGTGAAAATTTTAAGCAGTTGGCATAGAAAAGATATGGAACACAATACACTTTTTTTTTTTTGGTTACTCAGAACATATACAAATACTTCTACACTACACATTCTACATCACAGTAAAATGTGATGCCGATCTCTAGGAACAGAGGCTGGGGAAAGTTCTTTACAAGGAAGCTGAGAGAAGTACAGAAACGTGCTTAATGATGCCCAACTGAGAGACTAAATAATTGAAATGCAACAGCTATTTCTTTTGAAAATAAATGACAAAGCATCACTGACTTGAACTATTAAAACAATCTGAGAGAGACTTTAAAAACAACTTGTGCACATAACATTACATTTTAATCTCTTAGAGAGCTGACAGGATGTGAAATGCCAGAAAATAAAATGAGATCTTGCAATGATCTGTCAGTACATTCACGATTGCAAATTTATCTGCTCTATACACTTTCACAGGTGTGAAAAGATACCACCTTAAATATTGTAGCATTGAAAATATGTTACTTTGTAGCTGGAAAATTTTGTTTGTACTTGATTAATGTTTTAATATTTTCTGTGATAACTTTGACATTTACTTCATGTACTGGTTAGATTGCAAGGCATTTTGTAAATAGTTTTCTATGGGAACTTTTAAAAATCAGGTATGTCAGATGTCGCAGTGACACAGCAGGAAGAGGAGCCAGACTGACTGCTACAAGAATTTGGGTCAGTGAGGTAAACTATTACTCTGTTGATATTGTGAGAAGTTCAAAACTGAGCCTCTAACAGTCCTTATTTTTGTCATGCAGTAATCATATTCAAAGGAATTATTGACTCACATCCATATAACAGTCATGTCAAGTTGAGCCTGACAAAAGCAACTCAACTGTAGGTGTAAGTATGCAAAATGATTAATCGCAATTAAGTCAAATGCAATTAAAAAATTAAAATTGTAGAGTCTCCTGCAAGGTTAATAGGTTGAGGATTTTTAGTACTAGGAAGTCAACTGAAGACAAGATTGTAAGGCTGAGTGCTTATTTCAAGTCCATGATTTACTAAGCCTTTGGAATCCAGATAGTCTTTTTTTCCCTGAGACGAACTCTTGGCTTTTAATGAGTTCTTGTATCAAAAGCCTTACTGATCTCCAAGTCATCAGCTTACCAGAAGTGATGACTTATGACAAAGATGTGGGTAGCTCCTCAATTAACAAGAAATCAGAATCACAATTAGATGGTTATTTTTCTTGTAAAAGCATTTAGTTTCTTTACTACTGACCTGTCATGAGGCACTGGCTGAGATCACAGCATAATGACTCAGTTCAGAACTCCTTTGATGTCTAGAAAAAGCCTAAAAATATTATTATTGAAATATTTCATCACCAGAACTTTTTAAATCTTTCCATAATTCCCAAGTTGATAAGTTCATTGCAATGTAAAGACATTGACATCAACATGAATAAAACTCTCCTACATAGGCAAAGTCCCACATAAAACTATCCAGTGGCTTCTAGTAATTTGAATTTTATGAGACAGAGCAAAGAAGACAAATTAGCTGAAGCATACTTTGATTGCAAATGAAAATACCACTTAACACTGTAACAGTTGAAAGAGCACAAATATTGAGTAAGTGGTACAACAGATTAAAACTCTTCATCTCTCCCATGAGGTATAATTATGATCTAGAAAAATATAAATGTTTCAATTATTATACTGCATAATACTTATCTCCCCAGCTTTTCATGTTCATGCATTTTGTTTAAAATTGATGAAACACAAAAAGGGGGATTTGTTTATTCAATGTTCTTTTGGTTTTATTCCTGTAGTATCCCGTGGTAAACCCACACAGATACAGATCCCTTTCTCAGCTACACTATTACTCATCAAAGCAAAGTACTTTCACTGAAGTTGGTGAAATTATAATAGTTTAAGTTGAACTGTTTAGTGTTGAACTACTGACAGGAGTAGCTCCAGTACCCAGTTGCCTAACTTCTAACTCAGGTAATTCTCCTATTAAATTAAGGGAAAGACTAGCCCAGCTAAAGTGTAGAAAATCAGGCCCATAATCATGATGCCAGAGAAAAGGTTAAAATTTCAGATTTTTTTTAATACATATTTTTAATAATGATGGGCCATAATGGTCTCTTACACTGATGTAAGAGAGAGCTGCAACACCTTAGAAGGTGTCAAAGATGAATGAAATGTCCCACTGTTTCATCAGCCAGAAGAGGTACAGGTTTTCCCACCTAGCTCAGCATAACACAGATCCCATGGACCAGGTGTTCCTGGATTCTGACCCCCCACTACTGGAGGGATACCATCAGCAACCACTGATCTTGTCTTCAACAAGACTCCAACCACTGAGAAGGCCAGAAAAAGAGAACCAACAGGATATCATTGGAATCTCTGTAGTGGTGATATTTTTCTACTTAAATCTGTTTCTCTGTCATTCTCTTTCTCTCCCCACCCACTGTCTTTCCTCCCTGCTCTCTACTTCACATTTACTGTTAAATAAAAATCTGTACTATTGACTTCAGCATATTGTCTCATTTGTGCCTTAACTCTGAAAGAGGCATCTCTCTAATAATTTTAATAATCAGATTTTAACATTATTTTCACACACACTGTTTATTCCTGTGTTCTTAGCAACACTACATCGTAGACAATCCCTGAGCTTGTCTTCCATATACTGAATGAAGCTACTTTAAAATTAGACCTTGACCATCAATTTTATTCTTGAATACTTTCAGTAAATAACATCTGATTTGAGAACGCTCATTTGTCACAGATTTGATTTACAGTTAGAAAAGTAGCTCATATATAGGGTTATAGGAGTGAATGGATTTAAGTCAGTTGGAAATGTGTGGAAAGACAGTTTCAATACATTTGGAAAAGCTGACAAAAACTACATTTAACAAATCAACCATGTCTGAAGACATGAAGAGAATACCACTGTCACTTTTTTTTAACCTTCCTTAATTATGAAGAATAAAAAGCAGGCATGGCATAAGACAATTGTTGTAGTCCAACTCAGACTCTGTATGTAAAATTTCAGTTTCAAAGAACCCACCAGGGAAAATACTCAACAAAGTTGAATATAAAATTGAGGCAAAAATCTACTTCCTCTTATTTGAGGAAGGCCGTGATTATTCAGGAGCCATAATATCACAGAATCACAGCATTGTCATGTTGGAAGGGAATATTTGGGATCATCAGTCCAACCCCTTCGTCAAGGCTGGGTCACCTAGAGCAGGTTTTACAGGAAAACATGCAGGCAGGTTTTGAATGTCTCCAGAGACTCCTCAGCCTCTCTGGGCAGCCTGTTCCAGTGCTCTGCTACCCTCAGTGCAAAGCCATTTTTCCTCATGTTGAGGTGGAACTTCTTCTGTTTCAGTTTATACCCATATCAGTATCAGAACCTCTAGTAGTGTGTATATTTTAGCAAGCCTCCCTTTAAAGTAAAAAACCCGTAAGTGCTAGCTAAGGAAAAGACTAAATTTTGTAATTAGCACCATTTTTCTGGTGTTTTAAGAGGTGTTGATTTAGATAAACCATTTATGATTTCTCTAAATCTTGTTGATTTGCATATTTCAGAATCAAATGAAACAATGGGTTTCATTGCAACTGCAAGAGTTGTTCCAAATACAACATAGCATTTGTATTTTCTTCACATTCTTAAATTAATTTGGCTAAGAGCTATCCTGTAATATAAGAATTCCACCACTCCAGTAATTTGGCATAGCTGCACTCCTTATGACAACACAGGACACTAACACTTTCTTTCTGGACACCACCTGCATAAACAACGCTGACAGACTACCATATTTAGAGGTTGTCAAAACATTGTGACAGCAAGTTTTAGTAATCTAGAACTGGCATCATAATTAAGATGGGCTCAAGCTCTACTGAAGACATAAAATTAATTTTTTTTTCTGAAAGTAGAATACAAAAAATTTGAAATGAAAAATTAGTTGCTTTGCTCATAAAGTGAGAAAAGTGGAAATTAGATTCCCTGCCAGTTTTCAAATTGTTAGCCAATTAGACTGGAGTTCAGAAAAATCATTTTTCCTCTACTTAGATCATGCAGGTTAAAAACATACTTTTAATTTAATGAAGATGAAGAAATTTACTCAGCTTAATGGTTTAAATATGAACTACTCTGGACAGAAAATTAATATAAAGTGGAATAACTATTCTGTTTACAGTTAATCGGTATTAGAGTATCAATCAATGAAATCAAAGCACTCCCAGCATAGACCTACTAGGTTTGTACCACTCCAATAAAAACTATCATTCCTGGAAGGAATGAAGGAATGTAAGAATAAGAACATTTTGTTTTTTTTTTTTAAATGAGAGGAACAGATGTTACGACAGAAATCTCCAGAGCAGACACCTGTTATAAAAATGAAATGCTTCAGCTTAATCATTTAAAAACAGTGGTAAAACACATCTAGCAGTTTTAAATCAGCTCAATATGTCTAAATGATAACAGAAATAAAAACTTATTCTGTTTCAGATAAAATCACAGACAGAAGTCCTTAACTGAAGAACTAAGGGTAGATTAAATTCCTGTAGTTCTACTTTAATTAAGGCCAAAGAAACTTAATTTTTCCACAGACTACATACCATGCAAGGGTCAACAATATTTAATGCAGAGCATCTGCCAGCTATTCCTTTGCTTTCCATTTGACATTAAAATCAAGTCTAACTCTTTATTATAGACAGCTTTAGAATATTCATCATCATAGTAAGTATAGGAAGTACATGTAGATAGATATTAACTTCTGCCACAGGAATAGTATTTTAACATACAGAAAGGACATCACTCACTGTGCAAACATTACTTTTATTCTCTGAAGCTAATTTCATCTCACTAGGTTTTTATATAGACATTTGCAAATCCCCTTGCTCTACTGTAGAGTGCATAATCTAGATATTAAGCAGACACACCAAAGCAATGCAGTAAAGTAAGTAACAGATGCAATTTTTAACACAAGTGGTATGTTTATCGTTATTCAAGTTGAACCATGTGAATGCTAAATTTTTCATTTTAACTTTCCAGTCTGATTATTTGCAATTTAGGTCCCCAAAATATAAAGTAAAAGCTTGACACCCACCCAGAAATCTATGCCAAAGTATTTTATTAAATGTCATACTTCTAAAATAAATTATTTTTGGAGGCTTAATTTAGAACACTTGTGGTTTTTTTGCAGAAAACTTTTCTAATTTTTGGTTGCTAAAAAAGCTTAAAAATGCAAATCCAAAGCACTGAAAGACAAGAAAGCAGACTAGACCAATTAGAAATGTTTCTCAAGTGTCCAATTTTTAAGCCATACCATGATTGTTTTTGACCTAAACTATGATTTTGGAATGCTTGACATGACAATATTATAAAAAATGTAGCACATGATCACTACTCAGATATCAGGAACTGCTTCTAATGCCCAGTCACATGCAAGAATCAGAGCAACAGAACTCTCTGGATGACAGGAAGTCAGTATCCAGCAGTAAATGCATGTGACAGCTCTCAGAATACTTACTGCAGATCCCACAGTAGGGCAGAAGTTACTAAGCTGTGAGCAGCTTGGTTTGGAACCAGAGGCAATTTAGTTTCAGCAACAAATAACTATTTAGATGGAAACTATATGCATGCAGAAATGTATACTGGGGCTGTCAGAGCCATCCATGACTGATACAGGCTCATGTATAAGCTTGCCAAGCAGTGGGAAATACCAGAGAGCTGTGAGCATTGCCAAATCACTAAACTTTACCCTTGGGCTTTATATAGAGTTCAGCCTCCTTTGAACAGTCTCCTTTGAACTGCAAATCATAGTTCTTAACTTCACCATTTCTCTCTTCCAAGTGCAGCAGTAATGATTTAAAGCTCTGCATCCACTTGGTTAGATCATTTCTCCTGCAAATAATGTGATTTGAACAAACTAAGCCATATCTACACATATGTGTTTTGTAGGGGTGCAGAATGAAACTAAACTGGATCCATGATTCAAGGATCATTCAACAGGGGTCTTTAGATACGGTCTTTAGAACTGTTACAAGTTACCATAAAGGACATAGAAGAGTAATTAAATATTGACAGAAAATATTCTACTCTAAGTGAATGAAGAGGGGAAACAAAAAGCAAACCTCCCAAAATCTTGCTTTCACAATTAAACATGACTTCCTTTCCCATCTTCCTTTAACCAAGACTGAAAAACTACCTCATTAATAAGGAAACTTAATCATGTCAGCTCTGTTTTCAAAGAAATAAACAGAAGATTCGTGAGAATGGACAATAGCATGTGTGGGTGTCCCAGTTACAGAGATAAGAGATGGAGTTTAGTATTAGGGGTGACCCAAAATCATGCATTCTGTATCTTCTCTACATCAATCCATACAAGTTAGTTTAGTGTCTCTTGAAGGCCCAGAGTCAGAATCAGAACTTCTGTGTTTTACCTAGCTCATGGCAGGGCAGGCGTGCTGGATCCCTTCAAAAATAGGGAATGGACAGGTCTTTCCCTTCACTGCTGCCACCTGCCATTTGCTGGAAAATGTGCATACACTGCTTTTTCACGGGTGCGCTGTGGAGATAAAGCCTGCTGAGCTGCACCAGCACCCCGGCAGCACTGAGTCCTTTTGGACAAAACCAGTTTTTCCCAGGTTTTCTTTTTCTGCTGCTTCTCACTGTTTCGTTTGTGCCGGAGGTGGGGGATGAGGTGCGGGGGGAGGTGGG